CGGTTGGTTCACACTTGGTATAAGTCAGAAATTAAATCCCAATATGAATATTATCCAGGAGTAATATACATCAATGGATTCATTATGGCTTTGACTACCTTTAAATAGCAAAATTTGCAAAAATTAATGCTGATTGAATTATAAAATACCTAAAAACCACAAGCAGTTCTTGATTTCTCCATAAGCCGCCGTGTTACAAAATGCCGTTGGGTTCACAAATGGTTCACTATTTTCGGAGCACACGCGGCTCGGAAACGCCTGTTCATGGATTGGCTTCATCGCCGCTCCAGTACTTTGCGACTCTATTGTACTCTATGTCTTTGATCAACCCATTACCGAATTCCTATCTCCGTTACTCTCTCATTCCATTTGTTCCTAGCCGTACCCCCAATTCCTCGATCCATTCGAGTTTATGATAATTGCAATTGGTGAAAATGTAATCTTTATTCCCGTTTGTGAAACTGTGAATGCCTAAAACACGAGAACCAATCAGAAATGGATTCACATTGTCATTACTTTTGGTATAGAGGGACTCAAGCTTGAACTAGCGTCGACCAGCTCCATAGAGTACATAGAGTCGTAATGTAAGTAGGAGAGCTGGCGCCATTTTTAAGCAAATTCCAGGTCCCAAACTCCGAGATTCTTTTGTAGCGCCGGGTCAATTTTCCGATCCATAATCGATTGTTTGCGATACACGCGGACCCGGCCATGGAATCACTACGTATTCCACACCACCATTTTGGATCGAACACGTATCCAGCGTTCGAAACTCACAGGCGCCAACGCGACAAATGCGCCTAAAAAATCGGCCATGGCGCCTAAAAAATGAAGGCTCCGCGCCAACGTGGCCCCTGAAAAGAGCCCCCTAAAAATCTGAATTTTCATATCAGGAGATGATTCGAAATTTTCAACACTACAAGTGAAAGCTCTGTCTATTCCTCACGATTTCATCCTTTGCGCTTTTGTCTTCCCCAAATTACAGCTACTTACTAGTATTCTGTTTCGAAAACATCTTGCGTCTAATTTTTCACTAAATATGCCGTAATATATAGGCAAAAAGTCAATTTGGCCCCTAAAAAATCTTCAAAGGCGCCCAAAAGTCGGACTTGATGCGCAATTTTGACTCCTAAAACTCAAAGGTGAGTTTCGAACACTGGTGCCAGCTCTCCCATTTACATTACGACTCTACGTACTCTATGAGGAACTCACTCGTGAGATTCGTAGTGGTGGGTGACGTTGGTGACGACCGGGGGCGTGATGCGCGTGCTGTTCCCTGTGGAGGTGGCGTTGATGTTGATGGACTGGGAGTCGATGACGACCGAGTGGCTGGAGTGCGTGGCCGGCGGGAGCCTCTCGTAGAGCGGCGTCGGCTGGCCCCAGCTCGGCGAGAAGAGGAGGTGGTTCTTGAGGGGGTCCACGCGGCCTCCCCCGCTCCCCGTGTACTCGTAGTAGTACGGGTACTTGTTGTCACCGCCCCCGCCCCCGCCGCCGGAAAGCAGACTCGACAGCCCTGGACCCAAGTTCTGTCCGAGTTGCGAGTTCCTGTAGTTGCTCATGCCTAAGCCGAGACCGGCGCCCTGGTCCAGTTTGTAGTTGCTCATGCCCAAGCTGAGACCGTTGCCCTGGTCCAGTTTGTAGTTGCCCAGGCCGCCGAGCGAGGTGGGTGTGATGTAGGGTTGGTAGCCGTGCGTCGGTGGCGGGAACCGGTGGTGCCGCGTCGGGAACGGACCCGGGTAGTAAGGAGCTGGCTGGTACCTGAGGCAGAAAAACATTATGTCAAAATTATTAATAGTATCATGCAGGATGCACATTGAAAAAGTGTGCTGACAGCCGCTAGGCACGCAATGGGTCAGTTGCGGAGGTCAATATGCACAACGACCACCTTTTTTCCATTCTGAACCCGGTGTGTAGTTGTTTTTTTTTCCGTCTTTTACTGTAGAAAACACTTGAATCAGTGGCGTGGCGTGAAAGATCGGTTATCGATATTTCTCCATTTGAGGCTGTAGTAAAGAATCGATTATCAAGGTATTCGTTGCGAATACCTTGATAATCGATCTTTTTCCATAGATTTAAATGACAGATCAATCGATATATCGTAAAGCACGCCACGCCACTGACTTGAATGTTTCATAGGAAAGAGAAATAAAGGCAGTTTTTATAGAAACATTTTGAAACCTTCGATCAACTGCTACTGATAATATGACAAAAATAAGACATGAAGGATGAAGGAAGATTTTTTTTTACATTATGTGCGATTTGCACCTTCGTCAAATAATTATTTTCTCTCTGGATATTCTTAGGAAAATCCACGTTATGCCACTGCCTGATTCTCCAAACTGTCAATTTACACATCAAAACTCTTTAAATTCATGACTAATAAAAGTAAGGACCGAAGCTGTCGTCGATTTTCTCTCAATTTAAACATTCAGAACCGCTAACTTTCGGTAATGTGAGCTAATGTCGCATGCGCATCGTCAGCTTGTAGAATACAACTAAACGCGCATGTGAGCAGGTGACATTGCATATTTGAATGGTTGAAGGCGTTTTATGGGCGTCAGGATCGTTTAAAGTGCTTCGCTCCGCTCATTGCAGACGCTTTAGTTATTATACGGCCGTTTTACGAGATTATTTTTGGAGGGCAGGTTGAGGGAGATGATGAATTACGAGGGTTATTAGGAGACGGTAAGTAGGCTAAAATTACCGCCATTACAAAACAAACATCAACAACATTGACAAAACAACCGTCAATGTCATTTTTGAAGAGAGTAGTAACTCCCGCTGAAGAGTGCAAATTACCCCCCTTTTTTTGGAAATTTCTAACCGTAAATAATGTATATTTGTTGTTTGCTCACAACTTAACCACGCTAGGATGCAGGAGGTGGCATATACTGCTGTCTTATTAAATAAGAAATTAAGAAGGCCCTTTTCATACAGTCAACGTTCAAATTCGAAAAAATACGAAATCAAACACTTTCTGATAGTCTTTTAGATGATTATTTCAGATTATTTCAGAATCAGACGTGCTGACCGCTAGGCCAACCTGGCCGGCTATCGTGAGGTTCCTAGAGTATATCGTCTTTTCCATCACTTAAGGATTCTTGGGAAACAATGGGACTTACCCGGTGGCCCCGTTGACGGAGTTCATCTGAAGCGGCGTGACGATGCTGGACAGGAAGTTGTTGTTGAGCGGGGGGAGGATGCTGTTGATGCTCAGGGGGTCCTCGGGGGGCGTCGGGACGGCGGGGGTGGGCGCGGCGCCCTCGTTGGAGCTGGGGCTGGACGACGCCGAGCCCACCGAGCCCACCGAGCTGGTGGAGGTTATGTCGTTGAGCGAGGGGAAGCGCCCGATGTCCACCACCGTGAACTGAGGCGACGTCGGCGTCAGGTTGTCCCGCGACGGACGAACGTCCATGATCGCCGACTGGATTCGCGCGATGTCGCCACCTGGACCTGACACAATAAAACCTTACGTGAGGTATACAATAAGAGTTAAAATATAACAAAGAAGAAAAAACATACTGGTTGGTTTCTAAATTCAGCTCGTTCATACTCGTAAAAAATTAGCGCCTGTGTAAACGCAATATTTCCGCTCACCAAAATAACAAGATCTCCTTTGAATAAAATGTGTCATTGAACAAACTAAGTTCAGTATTTTTAGGGTGGTATGATATTCTCAATGTACATTTTTGACTTCTGAAGCTGCATATGCTAGTAATCTGGGTTTTTCTCCAACCTGCACAGATTTTCCGGAGAACGAAATTGTCTCTGAAAAAGCTGGATTTTCAGAGAAAATTACAGAGCTCAGAGGGCAAGGCGCGTAAGTGCAGTAATTCCTATTTCGAGCAATATATGTTTGAAAATTCAAAACTACATGTATCCTCATGGCGGAGAGAAAGTTCAAACTGACTTTTTGATACTTGAAAATTGGAATTTGGGAGCAATATTTCACAGTACATGCATTTAGGCTAGTTTTACTTGAGGTCTTTACTATCTCAATCTCTTCAAAAACCGTACTTGAGCGCCTTGTCCTCCAAGCCCTTCAATTCTGATTTTTCTGGGGAGAATCGAACTAGTCTAGAAGAACGGAAGTCATATTCAGAATCAGCTATTAAAAATCACATTTAAGTTAATCATCAATTTTGGCTAATCTAAAAATTTCAAATTTTTTAATCAGTTTAATTATTCAAACCAACTGCTCACCTCCTGCGGCGAAGGGCAGCAAGCTACTCCCAAAAGCACCGCCCATGCCTCGCTGGCTGAAGGCCCCCGCATTGCGCGCCACCCACTCCGGTGCCATGGGTCGTCGGATGATCTCGGGCAGGGTCGCGTAGTAGATGATCCTCTTGGTAGGGCCGCGCGCGTAGCTCAGCTCCCGGCCTTTGCCCGCCCGCAACGACTTGGCCAGACCCTCATCCGGCATCGTGTACACTTTGATGACCGGCGGCTCCTCCACGCCGCCGCTCGCATCGCCGTTGCTCTTGGGGTTGGTCGCCTGCTCCGTCTTCAGCTGCGACTTGGTCACGAACTTGTGGTCGCGCGGCGTGCGCGTCCGCATTCGCCACCGCACGTCGGCGTCCTCCCTCTTGAGTCGCCACTCCTGCCAGCGACTCATCCCATCGTCCGGATCGGCGCCGGACTCCCGCTTCGACCGACTGGAATCGTCCGCCAGATCGCTCTTCAGTCCCTCCGCGGGATCTCTCGTCGAGTCGTGGCCGTCAGCGCTCTCTACCGGGACACTCTCCACCATCTCCATTTCGTCGAGTCCTTTGTACCCCGGATCCTTCCTGAGGACTTCCACCAGGTCTCTGATCGGTTCCGGCTCGCTTTCCTGGCGCAGGTCGGCGTCGCGTCTGCGTCGATTTGATTCCGGACTCCCTACGTCGATCCGCAGGACTTCACCGCGGCCGATTTTAGATCTGGCTAAACCTCTCGGTTTGTAATCGTTGTGGCCAGTGCTATGATTCGATTCTCTTTTTGACCGTTTACGTGGTGAAGGAACGTCCACCAGGTGGATTTCATTCCATCCTCTGGTATCCCCGATCATGGCTTCCTCCTCTGACCAGTCGTCAGACGTGGATCCGGCGAGCTCCCTCTTCAGTCGCTGAACTCGGAGCCTGTGATCCTTAGCTCGCTCTTTGTTTCTGCACTCGGAGAGTCTTCTCTCCGCCGCTAGATTGCGCTTAGTCCGAGAAGCATGGTCTACTTTCCCTTTGTGCTTTACCTCTCTGTCTATTCTGCGTTCACATGGCTCTAGTTCTTTTTTCTGCTGATGTGAACGCCAGTGTTCATACAACTCTGGGTTGTGTTTTCTCCCTCGAGTTTGCCCTTCTTGTTGCGTTGAACGCTGTTTCCTTCTCTGCCGCAACGCACGCGCTAGCCTCCTTCGACGTGTCGCCGCCCTGAGACGATAGCGGGTTTGGTCTAAGTCCCTCTTCGTCCTGAGCCGCACTTTAACCTCGTGTGTCCTTTTTCGATGTAGCGCTGTGTCCTTGCCCGGCCCGGGTATCACGTAGTACAATTTGTGGATACGGCCGTTGTTCCCAGGGAATCGATTGCTGATAGTAATCGGGACTTTCTTCCATGGTCGCGATGGCGTGGAATTGGCCATGCGTTCCGTTCCGAGAGCTTCTAATTCCTTCCGGAGGCCGGGCTTGGTGGCTTGGACCTTGGATTTTTCGTTGTCGGTCTTTGGAATTTCGTCTTGATGGGTCTCAGCCAACAAAAACAGAAGCAGGAAGAGCATTTGGCTTTTCAGCAACATCCTGAAATCAGAAAAGAAAATGATGTTAGTTTTGCGTATTACCAGCCAGAAGATGTAGCTGCTTCATTTTAACTCGTGGTGTTAAAGCTAAAATGGACGCATTTCTGTCAAACAGGAGTATGTGCAGGTGAGAAAGATGGGGTGTGCTTGTTAGTGCTCGGGCCGTAAGAATGAATGGGAACTATTAAGCGCCAGTGACGTCAGCGGCGATCACCCGATTATTAACCAATGAGCCTTGTCCACTTGGCTCTAGATACATGCCCATGGCTCATGGGTGCCGCATACAGGTGGCCCACAGTTCCGTTTGCTGAACCGGGAAAGCTGGATTTTACGCTCTGTCAAACGAAACTATGGATCATTCCATGCCAATTCAACGAAGAATATTTTCGACTTTTTTTGATCTTCATGAATTTACGCCCTCGATAACCTTGCTTATATGTGCAAAGTGTATGAGCCATGGGCATGCATCTAGAGCCTTGTTGACAGGGTTCATGAGTTAATGATCGGCGACGGCGGGTTCTTCACTGGCGCGCCTATGATTCCCATTCATTCTTACGGCCCGACCACCAACGAGCACACCTGATTTTCCCCACCTCCACGAAGTTCTCTCTGACAAAAATAGTCCAAATCTAGTTCATTGATTTAACCACCATAAGAATTAATATTTTTTATTTAAAATATAAATTTCCATCAGAAACGGAGAGGCACACCCTGGTAAAAATTGGCGATGGGAGCCGCGATTCAAAGTACCATAAGAGTTCTTACAGCCGACTAAAGAGGGCTATTGAAAATCATATAGCCGGCTGTAGAAAGCGTAGCAAATCATATAGCCGGGCTATACGAAGCTATAAAAAAGTATACAGTCGGGCTATAGTTTCTATCGCCGGGCTTTACACTTTATCGCTATTGGCTTTAAAAGGCAATCAGAAATTGTGTAGAAATTCGTGTGCTTTGGAGATCATTAATTTGGTACGAACTACCTTAATATTTACAAAACACACATTTTTCCTTTAAAAGATATTTTTTTAATCAATTAAAATGAGAATTATCCATACAGAGTGTGCAAACATTTAAAAGTCATGAGTTGAAAAACGCTGACTCCGCGAGATTAAATATTAGAGCCTAACACAAAGCGGAGCGGCGACGCACTGGCGCCTACAAACCTAACAGGGATACTTCACGCGTTGCGCAATGCGTGAAGTATCCCTGTTAGGTTTGTAGGCGCTAATGCGCGTTCTCTGCCCGCGGGTCGCGCCGCAGCGTGCCACGGCGTCTGAAGCAACTATTTCACACCAGAGGTATTGCACAGTATCATAAGAAATTGAAGGTGTTCCAACATATTAAGAATGACAGGCATCCTTCAAAAGTACGGAGCTTTCCTCGCAAAATTAATCAAGATACTACGGCACAAAAAGAGGGTGGTAGTCGGAAAACTAACTAAGTCCTAGTATCCGTAATTAGTAACGTTTAGCATAAACTTCATCGTCTGGCTGTTGCTTAATCGCCATATCGGCTATAAAAGGCTATAAGAAATTGTAAAGCCGGCTACAGAAGCTATTGTAAATCTTACAGCCGGCTAGGTCTATAGTATTTTGGGACACACATTCTACTGCCAATTTTTACCACGGCACTTTTTTGTCAAACATCAGCCTTCTGACTCCCAACTCTTTAGTACTGTATACCCCTAATATACTTGTTGTTAGTTTAACCCTTTGGGTTAGCGTCACATGTAGAGAACATGCCCGTTAGGTTAGCATAGGTCATCTCCGAAGAGCAGCCGTTTCCAGGAAGACTAAATGAAAAACTGCGTCAAAGATGTTGAACGTGTTTGGTGCGGGTGAGTGGATCGTTAGTTTTTCCAGCGGCCGTAGAAGCAGTTTAGAGATGGTTCACTGACTGCAAGGCATTGTAGTAATGTTGCCAAACAAACACCCGTAAACCGAAGGAACCCGACAAAATGCTACATTCTAGGCGAAAGTGTATATTCTAAACTGAGCAAGATTTTCACGTGATCACTAAAGGAAGCCTATTACTAAAACTCTGTCGCTCCGCTATCGATCGATCTTAATCGATATGGCTCTATTTTCCAATGATCAAGGTGTTGTAATGTAAGTAAGCTATACCTACCTATCCTAAGATACAACTGCATTTATATCATCTTTGTTTGATACTACTATACTTAACTTGTATTCAGAATTTGAGGCTCTACCGATCATATTGAAATGCATCGATGGAAAAATTGATGAAATTAAATTTTTAATTTACAATGGGCCTTTCGACGAGGTATGAAATAAAACAGTGCGGCGTGCGCAGCTTGGCGCTTCAAAATTTCTTGAGGAAACCGAATCACTCGACAGGAGGTTAAGAAACCAACTCCTAAACAAGATATAGGTGTTTACAGTTAACAAGCAACTTTAATAGCAGAAGTACAAATGACGTCATTTCTTATTCAAACTTCTATTTGATTAGTTTTAAAAATACTTAATTTCTCGTTCGGTGGCGCGGCGTGCTTTGCGATACATTGATTGAACTGCACGGAGAAAAAAACCTCGTGCGTGAGACCCGAAGTTTAGGTCATATGGATCTTTGAAGTTTTCAGATTGAGCATCTGAAACACTTTAGGTCTAGCTGTCGAGGTTCGGATCACACATCTGAAACTCCAGTTCTTACATCTGAAGTACGTCAGATGTGAGAACCGAAGTTATTCGGATGTGAAAATCGAAGTACTTCAGATGTAAGAACTAAAGTTTCAGATGTGTGATCCAAACCTCAGCAGCTGGACCGTAAGTGTTCGGATGCTCAATCCGAAAACTTCAGAGATCCATATGACCTAAACTTCGGGTCCCACGCACGAAGTTTTTTTCTCCGTGTGCCGTTTAAACTCATGGGAATGGATCGTTAAATAGGGATGCATGTCTTTTTTGACATTTTTCGGCAAGGATATTGACATCGCTTATCGCGTTTCAGATTGGCAACCGCGGAAGCCGAAAACTTATGCGCCGAATTCTTTAAAAGATATTTACGTAAATCTTGCGTAACGGTGCAGTCGATCGGGGCTCAGGGCGCGATCTGCGGTTTCCAGGAACGCTCACTCCCGAATTATCTTCGGATGCATCATTGCCAGCGAGACAATCGCTCGATTGAGCGCTGAAACGAATAGAAAAGGAAAAACTTGTCTCGAAAAGTCTACAACTCCGAAATGTAATAATTTTTAAAAAAAGAGGAAAAATTGGAAAAAACTTAATTCAGCCGAAAATTTCCGATGAATGGAGTATATTTTTGGTACGGATTATTCGATTCCCAGAACAGGCCACCTCTGCCCCCCATTGAAGTAATGAATATAAAAAGGGTGCATTCATAGTACAGTTTTAATATTTTTAGGCGATGGAGCTAAGTACTTTTTTATACAAAAGAAATTGAGAATTTGCAGGTGTCTGAAATTTGATGAATTTCGTGTTTAAATGGAAGCTACTGAGTGAACTGAACACGAGGATACCCTTCGTTCATGAATTGAACATTATGATATAAATATATGACACAATGATCTAATCTGCTAAAATACGTGTGTTTAAATGGAAAACGCTGCCAGATGACGTCACAACGCGGTGTATTTTCTCACTTTTAGTTACATTTTTATACAATTTCCCATACCAGAAAAATTTTAAAAAATACTGTGAAATCAGCTCTTTAAGCACTTTTAGATGAAGCAATAAAAACTTTACATGCAAATTCTCCATTTGCGGTTCACTTACGAATATTCTTGAAAGGGCAATGATGAATCACACGAAATTCGATTCAATAATGACGATTTTTCGAAATCGTAAAACGCAGCAGGAAATCTGCAACGTCGCGAGATACCGAGATACGAGTGCCGGGTAGTTTCACCGTGGATATAGAGCAGGTCGGTCCCCTTCCGAGAAGACGATCCTCCGTGCTGGCCGCCCGCACAAGTCGAATGCGAGTAAAGCCGGGTTTAATTGTTTTAAGTCAAAACTAGACCAAAAAGAAAAGATGACGGAACACTTCCGAAACTGTAAGAGGAGCATGACTTCTACGATGGGGCTGAGGGGGGGGGGGGGGCGGCGGCGGCGCCAGTAATTTAGAAAAGCCAGAGCACGGAGTCGGGAGGCGCTGGCGCGGGCTTGGGCGGCCGCAGTCACCGGAGCGGCACGATCATCCGGTCATTCGCGACTCATTTGTCTGACCTATACACTGTCGGCCGCACAGTGGGCTGCTAAAGTGAATCCAGCCACAATAACACCAGGTGATCGATTCTGAGTCCCTTCTTGCCCCATCACTTCCGCCGCGCCGCAAGAGCATTAAGGTCCGTTTGGCTATAGCACCTACACTGAACAAAAAAAAGATTGGTAGAATTTACCATTCCTTCACGTTGTATTTCACACAGCGTCAATTTAGAGTCAATTCTGCCAGAAGAAAGGTAAATTGAGTTCGGAACTTCCGAGACGGTGACTCACGAACCGCAAAGTTGGTTGCGTGATTTTGGTACCACCTCGCGAGGTGGTTCTAAAAAAGGTTCGACCTATCGAAAACCAACGGATCTGACTGGTTGACTCTGGTAATAACGGTGTCCACTGGTGTTGGTGATTGATGAGACAAACCGGGACAGAACTTCCCAAAAAGGTTCGGAACTTTCAATAAAATTCGCTTTTAGGGGCAGCTCTTAAGATAACGTGCCGCACTGAGGGAGAGGGCCTGAACGTGTTTTACGGATGTGTTATAAGGGAATGGGACGTAGGGACGTTCATGGCTGCGTCACGGAACGCCAGAATAGGCGCGTTACGGAATTTTCATTTACTTAGGGGAACGGGTGGAGATATGTGTTACGGTTGCGTTACGGGGGGGGGGGGGTCTCGATTTCCGGCGTTACGTATTCTATGAATATAAAAACTATGAATAAATAAATAAACAAAGCTCTCCTCGCTAAAATAGAGGGTCTAGCAAGCCCTGTTTTTACCATGATGGCAAGCGGCACACAAAATG